ACCGCGCGCACCTCATAGAACTGGCTGAGTCTTCTGCCAAGAAGGAGGCGCCATTGTTGAACAAAGTGAAAGACAGCATATCCCGAATCTCGCACCGGTTCACGCTGGCCTCGGGATGGGAGCGGCTGCATAATGCGGGTGTGGAGCTGGAAGTGAAGACCTATCGTCCAAAATCATGTTCTGATACGAGGTTCGCCCCATACGCTGCTGCAGTGATCACATCCTTCACCAACAGCCTGGCGGTGATGAAAGCGGCGATGGAGACGCAGCTGATGGCTCCTGATACCAAGACAAGTCTCCAGTCCGAGCTATCAAAAAATATTCAGCTTCTGGCCGGTTAATCGAGATTCTCGTGCCATTTGTGCCTTGTGAGCTCAGAGCTGTATGAAAACTCAGCAGAAACTTAAGTAGATTTGTCATTCTCTGATTACCATTGAAGTGCAACCATGCCCGAGATGAAGGTGGTAAAGATTAGATGCAGGGATGCGGAGCCGGAGCCGGAGTCGGAGCCGGAGCCGCCGGAGCCGGCATATTTTGCCCGGAGCCGGAGCCGGAGCCGGAGCCGTGAAACAATATAGCCCGGAGCCGGAGCCGGAGCCGGAGCCGCCAAAAAAGGGGGCGACTCCGGCTCCTTTTTATTTTTTGAAGAGGAAAAAATAATTAACCTAGTTCGGTTTGACAGTAGGTACAAGGCAGTAAAACATATCGTACTATTGGTCTCAATATAAGTGCCCAGGCGACCTGTAGTTTTGATGCGGTGAATACCCTCATCCTCGCCACAATGCGAGTGGGGGTGGCGCTGGCTGGGAGGAGGGGTGCACTCGGCCCGAGTTGTGGCGAGGGTAAGGATATTCACCGCATCAAAACTACAGGTCGCCTGGGCCTTTATCTTGAGACCAATAGTACGTCATGGGCCATCAAGTGAATGAAAAAGCCGAATATCCCCAGTATCCCACAGTACGCAATCAACTTCCTGTCTGCTCCTCCCCCCCCTCACGTCTATTGCATCCCCAGAACATGAGGACCGGTCATCAGGTGACGGCCATTGTTTTGAAGCCAGTGCAGTGGACTGCGACTCCCAGCACCGTCTCTTCCCACCCCCCCCCCCACCCCCCAATGCAGCCGAGATGGGTGTCAGCTTACGATGGTTCAGTGAACTCCGATTTGCGGCGACTGCGTTTCCAATGCCATCGCTTCCTAGTCCTTTGTTCTGCCAGTTCTCTCCGAGGTGCGTTTGCGCGGGGACGCGGTGAGCCGGTCATGGCAAGAGTAGGTAACGCGTATAACCAATCCAATTTTTCTTCCACCCGTATTTAATTGATTGCATAGGGGATGTACTGAGTCGGAGCCGGAGCCGCCGGAGCCGGAGCCGCCGGAGCCGGACCATTTTACTCGGAGCCGGAGCCGGAGCCGGAGCCGCCATAACATTTCACCCGGAGCCGGAGCCGGAGCCGGAGCCGATTTTTTTCTCCGGAGCCGGAGCCGGAGCCGGAGCCGTTTGAAATTTCCACGGCTCCGCATCCCTGTAGATGCCTTTTAAAGGAATGGGATCGAATTAACTTTGGAATGTAAAAAATGGCTGCATATGAAGTCTGATATAGGCCACTGTCAATATCAGGTTGCTCCCTTAACATTATTAGGCATCACTTTTATTTAGGCGTAGCTAAATCAATTTGTTGTTTTAGCTCTAGTGGATAACGCTCGATAAACCGATAGTTTAAACACCAACTCGTTCAAATTGGATTGTCGACTGATAAGCACTAAGCAGTTTAACACTCGGCTAGTTACACTCCAGGGAGTCTACTCTGTAATAGACAGATTGTTATATTTTCAAGAATACCATAAACGAATTCCTCATATGCGATTTCATATTCGAAGAATTAAGAAAACTCAGTTTAATTCACGTTTTCATATTTAATTTTCATTTATAAAAATCGCAATTAGCAGACAGCCGAAAACGACGGCCATGCTGGCTGTGACGTCACGATTCGTATGCGCGCGCAGCGTTCCCGGACGGCGGCACTGAAGACGCGTATTGGGCCATGGTAATTCGCAATTTGCATCGTCTTTATTGTGACTTCGACATATTCATCCATTCCTGGGTGAGCTGAACTGTTTTCATCATGTTTAAACCTTGCATTGTAGGAGCTGCCTACTTTTAAAGCCTCTTCCCACCCAACTGGCAGGATGTGCGGAGGGGGCTGACAGCTGTGATGGATTCCAAGACTACTGTAGAAGTAGGATGACTCCGGCTCTGTATGCTGCAGTGCGTGAGGCGACCAAGGGGCAGGGGGAGTGTCCTCTGTGGCACGCTGTGCCATTTGGCCGCATCACGGCGTCCAAAGCGCACGGGGTGGCTCACTGCCAAAAGAAAAATGGCTCTTTGGCGTTAGGTATCCTCGGTGCTGCAAAGGTGAAGGACACTGCAGCGATGGCGCGTGGCCGAAGGCTAGAGCCCTTAGTGATAAGGGAAGTAGAAAAGCATCTGGGCGAAAAGATCGCCAGCTCTAGCATTCTTAGCAGCGGTGAACATCCTGCGTTCGGTGCTTCGCCAGACGAGGTAACTGCCAATGGTAGTACAGTCGGGGTGAAGTGTCCCTCGTCTGACAAAACACTGCGTAGGTACATCGACAGCAATGATTCTAGAAAGACCAACGCGCAGAAACATGTGGCACAGGTCCAGTTGTTGATGCTGAAGGCGCAGTGCAAAATGGCATACTTCTGTGTGGCTGATCCGTCCTTCGAAACCAATAGGCAGGTCACGATCGTAAGTGTTGATTACGACGAGATGTACTGTCGAGGGCTATTAGCGAGGGATGAGGCGTTTTGGCGTGCGGCTGTGTACGTCGAACTGCGCCGCGCGCGCACGCAGTAAGTTCTCGGTAGCTACCAGCTGGTTCCACGTCGTCGCCTTGACTGAAGTGTTAATATATTATTTTAAGTCAACCAATAATAAGTCAATGGAGGAAAAATCAACTCCCTGTTGTTGTTTTTTCTCACTAAAACGCGTCGGAATAGCCCCATATACCTTACACGACTTCATATATGATCAACCTTCACTACCTTGAGGCCTGTTTTGCTGTTGGGCAGCTGTAAGGTCATGTGACGTCATTGAAGGTCACCAAAGGTTTTCTGCCAATGACTCCTTACAGAAACGAGATAGAGCCGCGCGGATGGTCTCATTGTGTTTAGCTTGTCAAGGCACATCGAATGATATAGGTACATGATGATCTCGAGGTCACGTGACCTGAGGTCAACCTTTGACCTTGGCCTTTCGAGGTCAACATATATATGGTTCGATGCCGATTGACAAGAGGATCACGATAGTGCCCTTAGTTAGTTATTCGAGAAAACTATCCATATGTAGCGCCACCATTTCGACTTTTTTTACCCCTGTGACGTCATCTTTCACCTGACCTGAAAATGACTTAGTAAAAATTGTAGACCTTGTCCGTGCGTACCCCATGCCGTTTACTGCTTGTCGCTATCTTGCTTCGTTCTCGAGATCTCAGGGGGGGGGGGTGTGGTCATCCACCCCCCCCCCCGTCGGTTGTAAGTTGGCGCGAACCCCCGTCGGTGCGCGGGTTAACAAACACTTTATCAGGTGTTGAGGATGAAGCTCCTACTAGTACATCCTGGAGTAATACACCACTTATTTTGCTTTGTAGGTACCTACATCTTTCTTCCACAAAGATTCACCTTTGTCCGCCGACCAACACTAACATAATGCAGCCAACCTTCACGGGGCTCGCTGGATACGAATCGTGACGTCACGACCAATCAACGCTCGTTATTTAGTCACGCGATAATAATTGACGTTTAAACCGATTTTAAGGCATTTAAACTTCATGAATCAAGCTGATTTTTTCACCGTTGGAGTTTTCAGATCAAATAGCACCTAGTATGTGCGAAAAAGTGGCATTTTTGCATAGCGCAGCACGTCTATTGCCGAGTGTAGCCGAGCACTGCAAAACGTGCAGCTCCTTCCGTAGAAGCGCCAGGAAGCGTACCAAAAGCTAGTGGAGGCACAATCAGCGGTTCTGACTGTAACCTAAAAATTACCAATGCCTTATTACCAGTAAAACGCCTTTTGGGCGAAGAACGAGCGAGCGAGATAGTGAGCCCTGCACGTGCGAAAGGGCGAGAGGGTACTTCCAACGGGCTTGCGCAAAGCACCCTTCTAACCGGTCGCTAGCGGTGTACCAAATTTGAACGCAATCGGCCCAGCCATTCCTGAGTTCTGGAAGCGGCATTCTGCACGTGCGCACGTGCAAACGGGGTCCAAACTGACTTTTGCACGGCACCCTACTAACTGGTCCCCAACCGTGTACCAAATTTGAGCGCAATCGGCCCAGCCGTTCTCGAGATCTGGAAGCGCCCCCTGCACGTGCGCACGTGCAGTAGCACCTTAACCGCAACACATGGGAATGCATTGTCTGATGGGTGCCTACCTGTATGCCAAGTTTCAGCAAAATCGCCCCAGTAATTACCGAGTTATTAAAATGGGAAAAAATTTGACACCTCTTATTGTTGTATTTTGCACGTGCACTGGGGTGACCCACATGCATCGAGAGTATCCTATTTTTTGGTAGAAGGGATGCTGCTACCCTACAAAAGTTACCGCAAGCCAATCGCCCAAGCGGCTGCTGAGATATGAGCCTCTCAAAATCACTACTTTTGCAAAACAGCTTGAACACCCTTGACTTCTCACGTGGCACGTGCCACGCCGGCCACTGAGATGGATCAAAAGTAGTCAATTACGGGGTAGAAGGGATGGGGCTACCCAACAAAAAAGACCGCAGGCCAATCGGTCCAGCGGTTGCTGAGATATAAGCCTCTCAAAAGCGTTACAGGCCGGGCCGGGCCGGGCCGGGCCGCTCATACTGAGATTTTTCCGTTATATTGAAAAGACTCACTTCGCTCGCTGCGCTCGCTCGCTCGTAATCAATGGTATAATCAATTGTACTCTTACTCGAGATCTGGCACCTGATAGGCTCGATGACATACTAGTAGAGGATACACTACTGCATTTTGTGCGCAGTTTCCGGTAAGCAGTCTAGCTGTCCCATCAGTGTTCCCATCCGGGCGTTATCAACCTGTCAGCTTTTGCTCAAAGGTGCTATGTTAATCAAGAGCTCAGTTGGCGTTATGTTCAGGGTTGTCCGCGTCCTTTCGGTGTTGCGGTGTAGGGTGTAGCAGAGTTTAAGGTTTTTTTTTATAATGCAGTTAATAGCAACAGCATCGTAGTTTGTACTCGATGTCGCTTCTCAGCCGCCACAGCCCGATCCTAGGTGATGCAGCTTTCCAGCTCACTACGTGTCTTGTCACGTCCTTTCAAGAAAACAAGCTGCGCAACCAGAATCCAGGTGAGTTGAATCCAGGTGAGTTAACATCCCGAGAGAAGAGGCTCTTCAACTACAAACTGTCTGGGAGTCATCGTGGAGCAGGCGTTCGGTAAGCTTAAAGGTAAGCTTCGGAGGCAACATTAGGTGGAGACCAAGTGTCCAAAAAGCCATTGATATCTCGTGCGCCGCGTGTATCCTGCAAAGCATGTGTGTCCTGGACGACAGGACAGGAGTTCGTGAAGGCAACCCAGGACACATTCCACCTGACCCTGGGAGTGCAGTACCACCGCGACCGATGGGGCGAGGCGGCGCCGGATCCTGCCGAACTGGAGGGCCCCCACCGCCAGTGCCGGTACCAGGCGTACCGGCACTTCGTGCTCTGGCAGTACGTGGCACTTCCTGCGCGCAAACTTTTCAATCTAAACATGCGTTATAGATTAAAAGTGTTGTCCTCATTTCTTGTTATTTCTGTTCTTACCTGGACGTGGGTGACAATGGTTTTGATTGAACGCTAGCTGGAAACTATTGTTTTTACGTTATATGAGCATGACATTTTTCGTGCCAACATCCCTGTTCATTGTATTTCACAGGTGAGGAGCCCTCGGTCGGGGGAACCGGCGCGCCCTGCCGGCCTGCGCCGTGACGGCCATCAGGACCAAGTACCCGAGTCCGTCGGGGGAGTTACACGGGCTTCAAGGACGTGCCACTACGTGAGTAAATAACCCATTTGGTTTAGGATAGTAAGCATATTGCCTGACCTCCCGTGACAAGATTACTTCTACCCGTAGTGCGTGCCTGCTGTATATTGTTCACATAAACACAGGACAACTTAAACTAATGATAATGCAGTTGCACATTTTCGGCCACGCGAGAGCGTCCGTCGCTGACTCTACCAGTCCTCCCCCGGCCGGGCCACGGCCAGTCGGCCACGTCGGCCCAGCGTCAGTTCATACTACACTACAGTGCCAAAAAACTTATATCATCCTTCCCGTTAGTGCTAAAAAAAGCGATGACGTGCGTGCATGCATACCGGGTGGCCCAAAAAAAATGTTCCGAACTTTGGAGGCCTATATCTCAAATTCGAGTGCAAATAACGAGCCAAAATTTTCATCAAGTTTGCGTCACTTCTTTGCGCAATAGTATGCCAAATTATAACACTGTACCATCATTTTCAAGCCAGCAATCTTATGTTGAATTAAGTAAGACGTTTTTGCTTTTTTTTGCCGTTGTTGAACGGTAGTAATGATTGGCTTAGACGTACCATGTTAGAAAAAAGTAGAAAAATAGAACACGTGAATGATACCAGCACGTGTGCTGTTATTTTAAATATTTTTGCCCCACTTATGTGCCAAATATTCAAATGCTAAGCCAAAATTGCATTAATGGATGTCATTCATTTCAACACAAGTCCTGTTTCGAAGAGAAGGAGCGGCACGGTGCATGGGCTACTGCTGATCGCCCTCCCTTCAAGAAGATCAAATAGTAAATCGACCGAATAAGGAAAAAAAGCTAGAGGGAATGTGTCACCCTGAGGCCTGAACCATCAATGAGGCTAGTTGCCAGTAGCAGTCATGGCTGCAGGCCGTGGTGCCGAGATGGAAGTGGCCCGTTCACTCACATTTTTAGTAAACATCTGAGCAAAAAAGTGATTTTTACATGGCATGCTAGAAACACGAACCGTTTGAAAAGTTATCGACCGAATAACATAAAAATCATACCATTTGCTGAAAATATATGCCGCATTGACTATTGGAAGTTTCAATGTTGTATCTTTAACACTTTCTGAGAAATATTGATTTAAAATTGGGAACGTTTTTTCTGGGCCACCCGGTATAAGTGTTCCTGTAATCTGTTGGGCTTACGTCGCCACGTTGTGTATTCGCAGAGACGCACCACGGTCGGCGCGGTGACAGACTGGCCGAGATCTACTTGGCCTTAACTCGGTGGAGAAGAGGCGGCGAACGTCAAGCTTCCGGTGTCAGTCACCATTAAAGTTAAAGTTAAAGTTAGTCGAGTGTGTTAGGTAATAACATTTAACGAGTGAAACATTGGAGCATTGAGGTGAAGATTGACCCCGTGTGTGTTTCTGTGCTAATAAAATACAGAGTGCAATGCATAGCACAAATTGACACTAAGTCTTCTTGACGCGTGTTCGGAGTGGAACAATCGAGTCTGGAGGGGATACAGTCGTGATTCACGGATTTCCCGATTTTCTATTAGAGTTAAAACCTTCGCATTCATAATATTTCACAAATTCAATCAACATTCATTCTTTCGCGGTCATAGGCCGACAACGAGCACTTGCTCGAGTGGGGCATCAAGAGCGCCACCTACTCGCCAACAGACACACAAACGGCGGCGCCAGCACCCGTTCGAGTTGCGCATTATCGATGCGCCACCTACACACAGAGATACACAAGCGGATATGCCAGCACCCGCTCGAAAAGCGCATCAAGAACACCACCTGCACACACAGAGATCCTGGACCTCAAGGCCGAGAACCTAGAGTCCACCTATGTGCACCTTTGCGTACAAAACATGTTATAAGGCCCAAGGTCAAGCAAATAAGTGTACTGGATGGTTATAGAGTTCGTCAGTGACGTGTATTCGCGAGCTTGTGCCTGGACTGTGACAAGACATTCACTTGTGAAAGCTGTGATGACGAAGCGCACCAATGGGAGCCTCTCAATCGCCGTTTTGTCTGGACAAACGGATACACGGTGCCGCTCAAACTCCAACTCAAGAGTTCGCTCGGCCAGCGCCTGTGTCCGCGTCCGAGTTCCCGCTGCCAAGCCACTGCCTCAGCCCAAAGCACCAGCAGCTGATCGACAGAGCATGACGCGGCTGCTGTGCTTCTTGTGCAGATGTACATTTGTGCTTATTTAATCCGGAGGTACAAAGTTGAACGAGCTTGTCATTGAGTCTCTTGTACTACTATGTCAGTGTTCGGGAGAAAGCATTAAGTACCTAAACGCTCCATGATTAGCAACTAGCACCCCAACATACGGTGAACGTTTGGCGAGGGGCTTTATGCTGCTTAGAGAAATAGCGTAGAATGTAGAATAGAAATAGCAACAGAAGTAGCATTCTCGAATTGCACTTTCGAGTATAGTAAGCCTTAACAACTTTATGGCTGAAGAAGACAATCTGAATCGTTACTGAGACCCTTTATCGTTAGTGTCTCAGTGGAACCTAGTCAAACGGTCGCGGCAATGTCTCTGCCTCGGATGGGTGTCATTCAGGACGTGAGCCGTCAATGTGTTTGCTTCATTTCGTTGCGTAGTTACTCTTAGTTGCATAGTTACGTTGCGTAATGTTCATGCATATGCATCATTGTGTGGACTATCATTGTGTGGGAGAGAGATAGCAATCATGAAAAAGTTTGCCGAGAGCACATCAACTGTGACTCACCCGATCCGGAAAAACTTCACGCATCAGTGGTGGCTTTCACACGCCAGTTCCGGAAATCTTTCGCGTCCGATGAAGTGCCCAACTACGTCCATCTGCAGTGCCACACGCCGCTGCTTGTGCGACACTTCGGGTCGCTGCGAGCGTTTCAGCAGCAAAGAGTTGAGGCTCACAACCATACGCTCAACGTAAAGGCGCGGTCTGTAACGAGACCGGGATCCACCCAGATGACCCAGGCAGTGCAGGCTGTGAACCGGTCCCTGTACTATGCACCCTGAGTGGGCGTGCATCCACCGTGCGGCGTGTTGTGCACCGTGCAACTGAACGTGTAATGTAGATGGTTTGTGTCATTTGTTTTCCTCTCATGTGCGGTTGTGCTGTGTATCGTAAAAGTACTATTGCGTTGGGTCGCACTCGGTAGGCCATCTGTAAAAGCACGTTGATGCATTCGATCTCAAGTACCTACGTATTATATATATATATATATATATATATATATATATATATATATATATATATATATATATATATATATATATATATATATATATATATATATATATATATATATATATATATATATATATATATATATATATGTTACAGGCAAAGTGAAAACTCGAGCATTTTGCAAAATGCCTAGGCAGTTTGCAAACTGCCTGACCCGCCAGTCATTTTGCAAAATGCCTGACCCGCCAGGCATTTTGCAAAATGCCTGAATTTCCATATATTCCACCGTTTTTGTTGACTTCAGGCGTTGACCATATACGTTCCACTAAGCCTGAGCCCAAATACAGGGGTGTCACGAATACAGGTTGTCACAAAATTGTTGCGGGATATTGTACTTGTGTCCCGAAATTGATTGCTCGTAGTTGCGTCAGTGTTCTCCAGCAGCTCGCTGACAAGTTATCAGCGGCCACGTGGTCTGTCCCTGCGGCACATGGTGAAGCTCAAAGAGGCCTATGTAGCCCATCATGCCCCAAACGAGAATCACCAGTGGATGCTTCACTGTCTCGACGGTGCAGCGCCTCTGCTGCTGTTGGCCCAGAACTGGTTGTCAGGATGGTTAGTAACTTAGAAAAGCTCTAATATCGCCTCATCACTGAAAAAGTCTGAATCTCTAGTCCTGAATGGTCCAGATTTGGTTGGTCTTGGCGAAATCCAGCTGCATCACTTTTGGATGACGGTATAAATTCAGGGTTGCAGCCTGAGGTTTAGCAGCCTCAGCTTTATGGTAAGGTCTTCAGATACCGGGGGATGGCCGATTTAGATGTCGAGCGCCCTGGTCCAGATGCCCTGGTGCCGAACCCGTTAAAATTACGCCCATTCAGCACTTGGAGGGACATGGGAGGGACAACATAACAGACCGTGCCAACCGCGCATCAATTTCGTGATATCTGTAAACTACGTCTTGGGTCAATTCCGTCGAGATGGAACTACCGCTGAATGGACTTGAGCCACCGTCTCCGCAAGGCCGTATATAGGCGAAGGCGTATCCGTACCTTTCGTATAGGTATACGGAGTTGATAGTTGTACCCGTGTGTATAAAAGCTGTCTTTTCCAGTCGGAAGTTTTTTTACCCCCAAGGTACCAGTTGGGTATTTGTCGAATGATGCCGAAACAAGCACCAGTAGTTTTAGAATTGATAGCTCTATCAGTATAGCTTGAAGGTGGCGTACCCACTGATATAATGTAAGACGAGGAAGCCAGCAAAGTCCCAAATCATAGAATTTCACCACCAACCCAATGTTAACCCGGCAGTTGCTGGGGTATTTCGCCACCCACCGTTTGCTGGGGGGGGGGGGGCGTTAAACGCCCCCAGCCGATAACTCGAGAACCAATAGGCGCAGCGAAACGCACGAGGCGGCAAACGAAAGAGCGCGACGAGACGCTTCAGATGAGTACTTTAAAGTTGAATTTTGAGGTCACAGGTCGGGTCAAGGTCAGGTCAAACACCTGAAATCGGGCTTTCAGTAGCATGGACTTCAGGACTTCGCAATGGGCGCCTCTCGCCATAAACTCTGTCAAAACGGTGCACAATCCATCTTATAAGGCCTACAAGAGTGTCAGCTCCATGTAGGGGTCAGTCAAGCATAGGTCAGGGTCAAGGTCAGGTCAACCGGGTAGGCACATATCCCCGAAAATCAAAACTGATATTCGCAGCCTGTGACACATGTTTTATAGGTAATTTGGGGCGTAGAACACGATGGTGACATTCATTTTATCATATGTGTACGTGTTTGGCTCAAAAAGTTCAATTTAATAAATTCATGTATCATGGTCGTGAAGTAGTCACGAAAAATTGCCCAGATTCAGTTCAAGATTATGGAAAATGCGGAATGATAATCAATAATCGAAGATAGCCATTTGATTAACCATGGTATTGGCAGTCTAATGGCGTTTACGGCATGTCTGTATGTCTATTCTGTGATTTTATATGATTTTTTGAACATATGCCGTTTTTGGTCGAAAACTCAGAAATCATGACGTCACTAAAACCTCGATATCTCAAAAATTTTCCGACCGATTTTTTTGAAACTTTGTCACAATAAACTTCAATCAATTCCCTACAGGTACCCAAAATTTGGCGCGCCTGCGGCGCGCCGTTTTTATGCTATGGCCCGGCGAAAAAAGTGGGGGCGTTTAACGCCCCCCCCCCCCCCCCAGCAACTCGCGGGTTAGAGACCCGACTTTGGGTGCTTCTACCCCCAGGTACCACCTCAGTTTTTAAGAAATGCACGATTAGCCGACTGATATTGATAGAACTTGAAACAAGGAACGTTTTGAGGCTGAAGGTGGCGGTACACATTGCGCCAGTTTTATTTGGGTTCAAGTAAACTTCCATTTTGTACGTTTTTTTCAAGGGAAAAAGGGTAACGCCAGAACATACCAAAAAGGTCCGTGGCCACGCTGACAACACTACGAGGCGAGGGATCTTAAAGAGAAGCTGGAAAGTCCCCTAGCTCGTTTCATAATCGACCGCGAGTCCCTCAGCCGATACGTTGGGGAGCTTCGCACTCTGGCAAGCTCTCTAGAGCAGGACGATGTCACCGTTCATCAACTTCGTGAAGCAGTTTCTCATCAGATATGAGGAGCTCACCAACATATCAGTCTCTGTAGAGGATTGTGTAACCGGGCAGGTCACATGAGGAGCAACTAACAGAGGAGCCAGATCTATCAAAAAGTATGTCTGTGATCTGTTCATGCACCTATTGCGCACAAAAGAGGAGCTCGACATCTCGAGGGCTGGGGTGACAGGTTGGATGCCCGCAGGAGTGATCTTCGTTTAACAAAGGAATGGCAAAGGACCTTTTTTATGTGGCTTAAGTCGATATGCAAGTTCCATTTACATGTTTTCCCACAGTTCAGCCTAAACTTGCGGCCTGACGTAAGAACGTATCCGGTCCCAGCCGAACGAGTCAAGATTTGTGAAGGCTCTGGTGATCGCCATTTGGGGAACGGATGGACTGGCCTCTCACTCTGTGAAGGGCGGGAGGTCCAATCGCTTCCAAATGGCGGCCAAACCTCCACTGACGCCCAGGAAGCTCTGAGTGCCCAATAAATTATTGGGGTTGTCGGTGGCAAATATAAACGCACGGCTGACTACAACATCATATTCCGTTTCTGATGGTAGGCTGTCACGTGACATATTTTCAGTCATATAATTCGTTCCTTTTTACAGCCATTCTTAATTATATGGTGACACAACCTAGAGCTAGGTGGACAGTGGACAGCTAGATAGTGGACAGCTCTGTCCACTATCCAGTCTACTGACTGTTCATACAGACGGGCTTTGTCTCCCTACTCATTAGCTATTCTGATTGCTTATTTCTGCAGGAAAACGGTAGTTTAGGAAACGGTAGTTCCAACCAGCCCTCTCATGCGCTGTGAAATGTTTAAGGGTGACCGGTAGGGGGACATGTTTTACATGTTTAACATTTTCGTATTTATTTTTCAATTCATGTACTACTGTGCTTCCATTGCTCCTGACCTACCCTCCACAAACCATTGTCTGTTTGTTGGCTCCTTATGACGCATCGATTACAACGGAAATTTTGCGACCAAGTTCTCCCCACCACTAAGGCTGTTATTTTTTTTCCAGATGAGCTCACTCGCTTTGCTCTAAAAATGAGTGAAAAGGACGAGGCTACTGATCTGGCGGTACAGAAAATCCCAAAATTCGTCGACGAAAAAAAACAAGCCATCGTCCGAAAGCAGATGAGGGATCACTCGTCATGAGTAACAACAGTGCCAGCGCCAACAGTGCAACAGCGCTTGGTGATGGTGATTTCTGGTTCCCCTGGAGGTGGGGAACGCCAAGCGCCACCTGGGGCCAGCTCCGACCGACACACATCTGGCGAAGCGCCTGAAGGAGAGCCTCCTCCAGCACGTAACGGGCCCGGAGTACGGCGGCAAGGTCGGGCTGGACCTGTACCTGGCTCTAGCGCTCAATCCGCGCTACAGACGCCTCCAACAAGTCACCATCGACGACACGATGCGAAGAGAAGTGGAGAAGGCCATGAAGCAAAAAGTCGAGGCAGCCTTTCATAGCAGCCTTTCACGACGAACAAGATCGCGCTCACTCGATGGAAGGATAACGCCGTGGTCACCATCGCCTCCAGCCTCGCCGCCGAGCATCCTCTGCGGAAGGCGTCACGCTGGTCAGCAAAGGAGAGGAAGAAGGTGGCAGTTGACCAGTCATTTGTTGTCCAGCTGTACAACCGCAGCATGAGCGGCACGGGCCGCGTCGACCAGGGCATCGGGCTCTACTGCATCCGCATGTGCCGGAAGAAGTGGTGGTGGCCGATATTCACCTGGATGCCAGACGCGAACGTCTTCAATGCATGGGTGTTGCACCGGCTAGATGAGCACGGCGGAATGTCTCTGCTGGACTTCCGACGCAAGGTGGCCCGAACTCTGCTTGCGGCACCGAGTCACTCGAGCTCAGAGAGCGGGTAAACCGCGCCTGTGCGCAGTTGCCAATGACCCAGCCCAGAAGTGGCGGAGCAAAGCCGAAAGTGCGCACTGCCGACTTGCAAGTCGCGTCCGTCCAGTGCGTGTACAAAAATTGTCCAGTGCTCGTACAAAATTATGCCCCAGGTCATTGTTCAAACTAATAAGTTATAAGCCACTCATCAGATTCCTCTCCAACCAATATCCCAATTCTGTATACAATGCAGCCAGCCGTTTTTGAGATATAAAAAAATACAAGGCACGTGCTAGCACCCAAACCACAAAAGCATTGCTTTGCCAAGCGGAGTGGGTGCCCAACGACACACAGTTTCATCAAAATGTGTTCAGTCATCAAATAGGAGTTATTGTACACAGAACAGCTTTGGCACCGATGATTTAGTACGTGACTGGTGGAGCGTGCCGAGATGACTACCCAAATGTTTCGACAATGCGTAATTTCGAGAAAGAATGGATAAGCTACACAGCAGACAAAACTGTTTGTTAAACAGGATGAATGGCTGCAAAGATATAGGCCTCTGCAGAACCACGGAATATATGTCTACGACATACATATTCCGTGGTTCCCACATACCTACGACATCTACGACTGTCGTAGACTACATATTTCGTGGCCAGAACGTTTGATACCGAGCCGGACAGTCACTGTTAATACTCATTTTACTCAATATTTTTCTATATTATGTATATTTCAATATTTTTCGATAATCAATCTCATTGCTTTCTCGCTCGTAAATATTTGTATTTCATGGACAATGATTGATCGCTTCATTTGTGTATGTGTGTGCATATAAGAGTGTGTGCATATCAGTGTCGAATTCGCTCATCGCTTTATCCCTAGACAAGAAGCATGACTTCGTTACGGTAAACGGGCCATGTAGTAGCGGACATTGGGGCACCGAAGAAGAAAACACCATGTTCTTGGGCGTTAATAAACCCTTGGTGTGTCTACGTAAATGGCGCGCATGATACATCTCTTGCGCATTATTGTTTTCGCGCTAAAACTATGGCCTGTAGTACGCGAATTTTTATATAGGTAGATCAAAAGTCATTTTGGCTGTTATATTTTTGAGTTTCAATGTTTGTTTTTTTTTGTTCAATCTTAAACATAAAAGGTTTCAATAAAAAATAAATATTTTAGATAGCTCATTTTTACAGGAAAAATGAACTCAATATTCTAAAAAGAACTTTGCGTACTTTCACAGTAGTTCGTTGAGTGTGGCGACAAGATAGAACTGTCTGAGTCGTTTCTTGATTTCAAATTACCTACTTGTGCTGGTTTTGTTTTAATTTACCTTGGTACTAAGTGAGGACATGGATTGAAGCTCAACGGTACGTATATTTCCCACTGTTTGAAGCGTTCATTGACATTATTTCGAATATAGAGCATACCAAATATTATTATCTCTAAACTATGAGAGGAGTGTTACATTTTTTTTTTTTTGCTTTAGTTACGTCTGATGGACGAAGTACCTAGTCTTTTTTGTTGTATTATATTAAGCTGCTGAGAAAATTTGGGTAGGTACAGCAAAAAAGTTTGCTTCCATGCTGTCTCCCCTCTCAAACATGATTGGATTCACATGATCATGACTATCAGTGATACTGTGATACTGGAGAGGACGTTGTGGTCGGGTGGTGGGTTCTTGTTGCTTCGCAACAAGCTCTGATTAGCGGGCACTGGGCCCACAGCCACCCATTCAAGCATTCGTACTAAATTTCTTAATAAAAAAAAAGATTACACGGGCTACATAATCACACAGAATCAAACATCTGTTTTTCATTTACTTTCAACCATTTTCTTCTTTAAATAGATGCCTAATTGATGTGTCAGGTAAAATGATGTCAGTTTCTTGGTGTATTTGTGTGTTTGAGGGGACACCAAACATATTGTTATCCAGAATCATGTTAACCCGTTAAACAACTCTGTTATTGTTTTGAACAATTCATTAGGAACCTGTGTTTAAATGAGGATCTATAAGTATATGTCTATGTGGGTGTTGTGTTCCACTGGCTCTGCCTTGAGAAACCAATATATACCTATATATTGTGTCAATTATTGGATGTCTTTCCTCGGTTTGCTCAATCAAACAGCATTCATGCATCCAATAATTGCTCTGCACAGTACACATATCCCAGAGGTATGGTCAATTCAATAGAAATAGCAGTTCCAGAGACAATTGGATACTCATGAAGGGGGCGCTTTCAATTTTTATGAGGTTTAATGTGCACATTCGTTTTCTTTTCAGATGAATGGGATACCTCCTGCTAAAAAAATGATAACATGAGGTAAAATGATGTCAGTTTCTTGGTGTATTTGTGTGTTTGAGGGGACACCAAACATATTGTTATCCAGAATCATGTTAACCCGTTAAACAACTCTGTTATTGTTTTGAACAATTCATTAGGAACCTGTGTTTAAATGAGGATCTATAGGTATATGTCTATGTGGGTGTTCCACTGGCTCTGCCTTGAGAAACCAATATATACCTATATATTGTGTCAATTATTGGATGTCTTTCCTCAGTTTGCTCAATCAAACAGCATTCATGCATCCAATAATTGCTCTGCACAGTACACAGCAGTGCTGTGGTATGGTATGGTCAATTCAATAGAAATAGCAGTTCCAGAGACAATTGGATACTCATGAAGGGGGCGCTTTCAATTTTTATGAGGTTTAATGTGCACATTTGTTTTCTTTTCAGATGAATGGGATACCTCCTGCTCGGTTTTATGGACGCTACAAGTCACACAAGTGCCCAAATCAGAGCCTCATATTAATTGCAGACCAGCTACAGACTAGTATTTTCAAATCGCTTCGTTTTCCTGTTAGAGAAAAAGCCACCAAGACCATCAGACTCCAAATTCGCAAGAAGGACGCACCATTTCTCAACAACAAGTCTCTTGAGGATATATTGAAAACATACTGCACAAGCTATGATGACAGCTGGAACATCCGCTTCATTTCCGAGGAGGGTGATGCCAACATGGTTGTGTCAAGTCGTGTCACCATCAGAAAGCTGCGCTCCGACAAACATTATGTTCAAAGTGGTGGCGAGTTCGTGGAAGTGCGCCGTCATCACGGAATGGAGCTGGTGGTGAAGGTGGTGAGGGCGAGGCGTGTGGGTGAGCGTGCCACCATGTAGTGTACCACCATCAGGACAAAGAGAACGGTGAAAATGTAATCACTTATCTTTAGTATAGGTCTGCTTTTTCTTGTTCAGGATATTGTTGAGCTGGTGTGTGGTGTTGTATGCCCAGTAGGAATGTACTCGTATATTTAGCACAGAAAAACGTTTTGAGTGTGAATAAGGAATGGTTAGTTAACGTATGCAAAACAACTGGATTTGTCTGTGACCTGACTGTAATATCTCTCTGTAAATACTGTGCTGAACATTTCTGTGTCAACCCAATTATTACCGGCAGGGAAAGAGAACTTCTCAGGGTAAAATTAACACATCTGCAGAAAGCGTACAGGGCATCCAGTCGTGGTGGTAGGTGTAGAACTAATTTTCTCAAGTCTGTATCTAAATCACGTGTAAATATCAATGTATCTGGCATTGAAGGCGATGCCAGCGCCATAGCACAGCTTGTGCCAGCTCCAGCCGACGTCTCAGCGCGCCCCGCCACAGCTTCAGCCGGTGGATCGGCGCTCCCCGCTGCAGCTCCGGTCGGCGGATCGGCGCGCCCCGCCACAGCTCCAGCCGGCGGATCGGCGCGCCCCGCCACAGCTCCGGTCGGCGCAGCTCCGGCCGGCGGATCGGCGCGCCCCGCCACAGCTTCAGCCGGCGGATCGGCGCGCCCCGCCACAGCTCCGGTCGGCGCAGCTCCGGCCGGCGGATCGGCGCGCCCCGCCACAGCTCCAGCCGGCGGATCGGCGCGCCCCGCCACAGCTCCAGCCGGTGGATCGGCGCGCCCCGCCACAGCTCCGGTCGGCGCAGCTCCGGCCGGCGGATCGGCGCGCCCCGCCACAGCTCCAGCCGGCGGATCGGCGCGCCCCGCCACAGCTCCAGCCGGCGGATCGGCGTGCCCCGCCACAGCTCCGGTCGGCGCAACTCCGGCCGGCGGATCGGCGCGCCCCGCCACAGCTCCAGCCGGCGGATCGGCGCGCCCCGCCACAGCTCCGGCCGGCGGATCGGCGCGCCCCGCCACAGCTCCAGCCGGCGGATCGGCGCGCCCCGCCACAGCTCCAGCCGGCGGATCGGCGCGCCCCGCCACAGCTCCGGTCGGCGCAGCTCCGGCCGGCGGATCAGCGCGCCCCGCCACAGCTCCGGTCGGCGCAGCTCCGGCCGGCGGATCGGCGCGCCCCGCCACAGCTCCAGCCGGCGGATCGGCGCGCCCCGCCGCAGCTCCTAACATAATGCAGCCAACCTTCACGAGGCTCGCTGGATACGAATCGTGACGTCACGACCAATCAACGCTCGTTATTTAGTCACGCGATAATAATTGACATTTAAACCGATTTTAAGGCATTTAAACTTCATGAATCAAGATGATTTTTTCACCGTTGGAGTTTTCAGATCAAATAGCACCTAGTAGGGGAGAGTGGGGCAATGGCGGACGGTGGGTAATGCCGGCCACCCATCTCTAGTGAGTACTTTGTCCATCACTAATCAACTGATGTTGTTTACATTTCAGTTGAGCGCCATTCTAGCACGTGGTGCAAGTTTGTCACGGTAGCTCCATTATTTTCATTTTTAAAGCGTTAAATGTGTTTTTCGTATCTGATTTTTAATTTTTGTTGCATCTATTTGCTGATTGTGAAATGTGTTAACGCATTTTCAAAAGTGCTGCTTTGCAATGACCTTCAATTAAGCCTTTCTTAGGCGACTGCTGGATGTGAGGCGTTTGCAGCGCAATGCCTTTGACTGCTGCCTGCTTTCTTAAAATAAAACTTACCTCGGGGTAATACCGGACACGTGTCCGGAATAACTCCACGCGGTTTTGTTTCCGACTTCTGTCGCCAAAGCTCAACGTTTCGGGTTGCTGTGTTTATGGCTGTGTTAGTTTGCTTGCTGTGTTTACGGTTGTGTTAGTTTGCTGCTCTGTTGGCGCCGCGCTGTTGTGTTGCAGCGAGTGCAGTGTTGTGTTGCAGTGCAGTGTATTGTTAACTGCTGAATACAGTTGTTGTTTCTTAATTCTCACTTAAATTTCCATCGAAAGAACGGTTTAAGGATGAATACCAGTGACGATATCTCGACTTTTGTGCTATTGCACTTAGTGGCCGGCATTACCCCTCGCTTTTTTGCACCTCCATTTTTCACCACATTTTCGCGTAGGCTCTGAGTCTGTCATCAGTGATCTGAGATACTAAAACTGGGTGCTATCTGAAAGCCTATTCCTTTGGCTATAACCACAGTCAAAATCACCATAAAATAGCTTCAAATAGCTAAGCTATTGAGCAAAATGCTTATGGTGTCGCCATTGCCCCACTCTCCCCTACGTGCGAAAAAGTGGCATTTTTGCATAGCGCAACACGTCTATTGCCGAGTGTAGCCGAGCACTGCAAAACGTGCAGCTCCTTCTGTGGGAGCGCCAGGAAGCGTACCAAAAGCTAGTGGAGGCACAATCAGCTCAGAAGAGGTTCTGACTGTGGCCTAAAAATTACCAATGTCTTATTATCAATGGTATAATCAATGGTACTCTTACTCCAGACCTGGCACCTGATAAGCTCGATGACATACTAGTAGAGGAAACACTACTGCATTTTGTGCGCAGTTTCCGGTAAGCAGTCTAGCTGTCCCATCAGTGTTCCCATCCGGGCGTTATCAACCTATCAGCTTTTGCTCAAAGGTGCTATGTTAATCAAGAGCTCAGTTGGCGTTATGTTCAGGGTGGTCCGCGTCCTTTCGGTGTTGCGGTGTAGGGTGTAGCAGAGTTTAAGGTTTTTTATTATGCAGTTAATAGCAACAGCATCGTAGTTTGTACTCGATGTCGCTTCTCAGCCGCCACAGCCGGCAGCCCTATCCTAGGTTGTTCGAGAGAAAACGTACCGTGCCGCACAGCGACGGCAGCGCGCGGCGGGCACGGCCGAGCCCCACCGTCCACGTGGTCCTCTTCAGGGCCTGAGGGGTCATCTGGAGCACATATGTGTGCTGACCGGCCCCAACGCGCCGGGCCGGCCGCCGCCGGCCGGCTCGGCAGTTCGCGGCGATACGACGACGACGGCGCGGCTCCGCCGGCGCAACGGCGCCGGCGTCGTACGATTCGATTGAGGTGCAGTGTGTGACGAGTAATCCAGAAATAGACATTCATCAAAGAACTCTTTTGGTCCTCCGGTTAATGAACGATACGATCAGCTACGCAATTCTTAGTGAACTGGACGATTGCACGAACACTTTGGTCTGCCGTGCTGGGTCAGAGTGAACAACCACGAATCACACGAACATAGGTGATGCAGCTTTCCAGCTCACTACGTATCTTGTCACGTCCTTCCAAGAAAACAAGCTGCGCAACCAGAATCCAAGTCAGTCAACACTCCGAGAGAAGAGCCTCTTCAACTACAAACTTTCTGGAAGTCGTCGTGGAGCAGGCGTTCGGTAGGCAAGCTTCGGAGGCAGCATTAAGGTGGAGACCAAGTGTCCAAAAAGCCATTGATATCTCGTGCGCCGCGTGTGTCCTGCAAAACATGTGTGTACTGGACGACGACGAGTGGGATGTGGAGCGTGTTGAGGTCGAGCTGGGACATCCTGAGGAGGAGGAGGAATGAGGATTCCAATGATGTGCGCGTGGCCGCTGATGCAGTCCTAGCAAAGAGACCTAGTGGACTGCTGGAAGCAAGCAAAGGCCACAGAAAAGGACAGGGTGTCGTCCCGCCTCCTCGAGTACCTCAGTACTCTTATTAGACATCTGGCACCTGATAAGCTCGATGACATCGAGGATAAAGTACAGCGTGTTGTGCGAAGCTTCCGGTAAGCAGTCTAGCTGTCCGATCAGTTTCCCATATGGACGTTATCAACCTGTCAGCTTTTGCTCAAAGGTGCTATGTTAATCAAGAGCTCAGTTGGCGTTATGTTCAGGGTTGTCCGCGTCCTTTCGGTGTTGCGGTGTCGGGTGTAGCAGAGTTTAACGTTTTTATAATGCAGTTAATAGCTATAGCTTCGTAGTTTGTACTTGATGTCGCTTCTCAGCCGCCACAGCCCGATCCTAGGTGATGCAGCTTTCCAGCTCACTACCTGTCTCGTCACGTCCTTTCAAGAAAACAAGCTGCGCAACCAGAATCCAGGTGAGTTGAATCCAGGTGAGTTAACATCCCGAGAGAAGAGCCTCTTCAACTACAAACTTTCTGGAAGTCGTCGTGGAGCAGGCGTTCGGTAGGCAAGCTTCGGAGGCAGCATTAAGGTGGAGACCAAGTGTCCAAAAAGCCATTGATATCTCGTGCGCCGCGTGTGTCCTGCAAAACATGTGTGTACTGGACGACGACGAGTGGGATGTGGAGCGTGTTGAGGTCGAGCTGGGACATCCTGAGGAGGAGGATTCCAATGATGTGCGCGTGGCCGCTGATGCAGTCCTGGCAAAGAAACCTAGTGGACTGCTGGAAGCAAGCAAAGGCCACCGAAAAGGACAGGGTGTCCCGCTTCCTCGAGTACCTCAGTACTCTTATTAGACATCTGGCACCTGATAAGCTCGATGACATCGGGACAAAGTACAGCGTGTTGTGCGAAGCTTCCGGTAAGCAGTCTAGCTGTCCGATCAGTTTCCCATATGGACGTTATCAACCTGTCAGCTTTTGCTCAAAGGTGCTATGTTAATCAAGAGCTCAGTTGGCGTTATGTTCAGGGTTGTCCGCGTCCTTTCGGTGTTGCGGTGTCGGGTGTAGCAGAGTTTAACGTTTTTATAATGCAGTTAATAGCTATAGCTTCGTAGTTTGTACTTGATGTCGCTTCTCAGCCGCCACAGGCCGATCCTAGGTGATGCAGCTTTCCAGCTCACTACGTGTCTTGTCACGTCCTTTCAAGAAAACAAGCTGAGCAACCAGAATCCAGGTGAGTTGAATCCAGGTGAGTTAACATCCCGAGAGAAGAGGCTCTTCAACTACAAACTGTCTGGGAGTCGTCGTGGAGCAGGGCTTAAAGGCAAGCTTCGGAGGCAACATTAGGTGGAGACCAAGTGTCCAAAAAGCCATTGATATCTCGTGCACCGCGTGTATCCTGCAAAGCATGTGTGTACTGGACGACAGGACAGGAGTTCGTGAAGGCAACCCAGGACACATTCCACCTGACCCTGGGAGTGCAGTACCGCCGCGACCGATGGGGCGAGGCGGCGCCGGATCCTGCCGACCTGGAGGGCCCCCACCGCCAGTGCCGGTACCAAGCGTACCGGCACTTCGTGCTCTGGCAGTACGTGGCACTTCCTGCGCGCAAACTTTTCAATCTAAACATGCGTTATAGATTAAAAGCGTTGTCCTCATTTCTTGTTATTTCTGTTCTTACCTGGACGTGGGTGACAATGGTTTTGATTGAACGCTAGCTGGAAACTATTGTTTTTACGTTATATGAGCATGACATTTTTCGTGCTAACATCCCTGTTCATTGTATTTCACAGGTGAGGAGCCCTCGGTCGGGGGAACCGGCGCGCCCTGCCGGCCTGCGCCGTGACGGCCATCAGGACCAAGTACCCGAGTCCGTCGGGGGAGTTACACGGGCTTCAAGGACGTGCCACTATGTGAGTAAATAACCCATTTGGTTTAGGATAGTAAGCATATTGCCTGACCTCCCGTGACAAGATTACTTCTACCCGTAGTGCGTGCCTGCTGTATATTGTTCACATAAACACAGGACAACTTAAACTAATGATAATGCAGTTGCACATTTTCGGCCACGCGAGAGCGTCCGTCGCTGACTCTACCAGTCCTCCCCCGGCCGGGCCACGGCCAGCCGGCCACCGCCGGCTGCCGGCCGCGTCGGCCCAGCGTCAGTTCATACTACACTACAGTGCCAAAAAAACTTAAATCATCCTTCCCGTTAGTGCTAAAAAAATGCGATGACGTGCGTGCATGCATATAAGTGTTCCTGTAATCCGTTGGGCTTACGTCGCCACGTTGTGTATTCGCAGAGACGCACCACGGTCGGCGCGGTGACAGACTGGCCGAGATCTACTTGGCCTTAACTCGGTGGAGAAGAGGCGGCGAACGTCAAGCTTCCGGTGTCAGTCACCATATGTGGTAAAGTTAAAGTTAAAGTTAGTCGAGTGTGTTAGGTAATAACATTTAACGAGTGAAACATTGGAGCATTGAGGTGAAGATTGACCCCGTGTGTGTTTCTGTGCTAGTAAAATACAGAGTGCAATGCATAGCACAAAGTATAAGTCTTCTTGACGCGTGTTCGGAGTGGAACAATCGAGTCTGGAGGGGATACAGTCGTGATTCACGGATTTCCCGATTTTCTATTAGAGTTAAAACCTTCGCATTCATAATATTTCACAAATTCAATCAACATTCATTCTTTCGCGGTCATAGGCCGACAACGAGCACTTGCTCGAGTGGGGCATCAAGAGCGCCACCTACTCGCCAACAGACACACAAACGGCGGCGCCAGCACCCGTTCGAGTTGCGCATTATTGATGCGCCACCTACACACAGAGATACACAAGCGGATATGCCACCACCCGCTCGAAAAGCGCATCAAGAACACCACCTGCACACACAGAGATCCTGGACCTCAAGGCCGAGAACCTAGAGTCCACCTATGTGCACCTTTGCGTACAAAACATGTTATAAGGCCCAAGGTCAAGCAAATAAGTGTACTGGATGGTTATAGAGTTCGTCAATGAGGTGTATTCGCGAGCTTGTGCCTGGACTGTGACAAGACATTCACTTGTGAAAGCTGTGATGACGAAGCGCACCAATGGGAGCCTCTCAATCGCCGTTTTGTCTGGACAAACGGATACACGGTGCCGCTCCAACTCCAACTCAAGAGTTCGCTCGGCCAGCGCCTGTGTCTGCGTCCGAGTTCCCGCTGCCAAGCCACTGCCTCAGCCCAAAGCACCAGCAGCTGATCGACAGAGCATGACGCGGCTGCTGTGCTTCTTGTGCAGATGTACATTTGTGCTTATTTAATCCGGAGGTACAAAGTTGAACGAGCTTGTCATTGAGTCTCTTGTACTACTATGTCAGTGTTCGGGAGAAAGCATTAAGTACCTAAACGCTCCATGATTAGCAACTAGCACCCCAACATACGGTGAACGTTTGGCGAGGGGCTTTATGCTGCTTAGAGAAATAGCATAGAATGTAGAATAGAAATAGCAACAGAAGTAGCATTCTCGGATTGCACTTTCGAGTATACTAAGCCTTAACAACTTTATGGCGGAAGAAGACAATCTGAATCGTTACTGAGACCCTTTATCGTTAGTGTCTCAGTGGAACCTAGTCAAACGGTCGCGGCAATGTCTCTGCCTCGGATGGGTGTCATTCAGGACGTGAGCCGTCAATGTGTTTGCTTCATTTCGTTGCGTAGTTACTCTTAGTTGCATAGTTACGTTGCGTAATGTTCATGCATATGCATTATTGTGTGGACTATCATTGTGTGGGAGAGATAGAAATCATGAAAAAGTTTGACGAGAGCACATCAACTGTGACTCACCCGATCCGGAAAAACTTCACGCATCAGTGATGGCTTTCACACGCCAGTTCCGGAAATCTTTCGCGTCCGATGAAGTGCCCAACTACGTCCATCTGCAGTGCCACACGCCGCTGCTTGTGCGACACTTCGGGTCGCTGCGAGCGTTTCAGCAGCAAAGAGTTGAGGCTCTCAGCCATACGCTCAACGTAAAGGCGCGGTCTGTAACGAGACCGGGATCCACCCAGATGACCCACACCCAGGCAGTGCAGGCTGTGAACCGGTCCCTGTACTATGCACCCTGAGTGGGCGTGCATCCACCGTGCGGCGTGTTGTGCACCGTGCAACTGAACGTGTAATGTAGATCTGGTTTGTGTCATTTGTTTTCTTCTCATGTGCGGTTGTTCTGTGTATCGTAAAAGTACTATTGCGTTGGGTCGCACTCGGTAGGCCATCTGTAATAGCATGTTGACGCATTCGATCTCAAGTACGTAGCATATATATATATATATATATATATATATATATATATATATATATATATATATATATATATATATATCTTTTTTCTTTTCTTTTTCGTGGTTTCAAGCGTTCAAACATGTGATATGATGTTGCCCCCATGCATTAGGGTGGGTGTCAAGATCACCTGAAGGTCAGGTCAGGCCATTGACCTTTGGCGACCTCGGTTCACTTTTTCGAGTTTTACATGTTTCTGGGCCAGTTTTTGGAGCTGAATTCGAATTTAGCAACCATATGAACATTTACGAAGTAGTTTTGGTGCCTTCGTAACATGTTACGAAGCTGTCAGAGGCGGTTGACACCTACTAGGAATACCCGGCAGGACCCCTACTGGTTGACCTGACCTGACCCGACCTGGACTAAATGCATAAAGACATCATCTGTGATCAAAACTAACACGATATTCGTGATCAGCGCCCCGAAAACCCCCATAGCAGCCACACTTTACGACGTTTTAACAGGTCCCGATTTTCCGACTTTTGGGTCATTGACCTGACCTGCAAGGTCAACCAATGACCTAGGACCCTAAAATTAGGTATCATCGGCTTCCTCTCGTCACGGGCAACACGCTCGTTTTTTCCGCGAAGCTCTAGCTCGATCAGGGGCGAAACGGCAAGGGGGGGTCCAACGGACCCCCCCCCCCTTATACGTTCGCGGCTGGAAAAAACACCAATACGGGCGAGGGTTGAGATATCGGTGGTAAACACGTTCGGTCATATTAACCCGCGCGGGGCTGGGGTCTCCAGCCGAACGCGCGGGGCTGGGGGGGGGGGGGGTAAATTTTACCCCCCCCCCTGTTATCTCCCGAACTAATGGTCCGATTTGGAAAATTCAAACGCCAATCGAAAGCTCTCATCACGAACTACTAAAAACATGTACTTAATTTAAAATTTGAGGTCAAGGTCAAGGTCAGGTCAAGGGTACAAATTGCAAGTTTCTACAGTAACGGCCTTGCACCGTAGTTGCCGAAGAATGGAGTCATGGACTGAGACTGATCGCCCAAAACGTGTTCTTAGGCTACCAAGACAATATTCGTTGCATACAATATCATTCAGAGGTCAAGGTCAAGGTCAGGTCAGGTCAGGTCACCAAAAAAACAAAATATAGAAAAGGGCATGTGCGACACATGTTTTATGGGTCATTTTACTCATAGAATTCAATAGGCACACTCAATAAGTGATATGGACCACCTCTGGATGAATTTCAGGTCGAGGTCAGGTCAAGGTCAGGTCAAGTGAGGTCAAATTTTGAAGTTGGTAGTTAAGGCCTAAAAAGGTGTCTATCTGATGCAGTTTTTCACGGCGAATCGAATGGTGCTATTTTTGTTGCCGTACGAGGTCTAGAACTTCCAAAAAAGTCATTTTTCAAAAAATTTGTGTGTCGTGACGTCATAAAATTTTGAATAACTCCCACATTTTTTAACCGATTCTTCTAAAATTTGGTATGTAGGTGCACATAGACCACTTCTCTGACATATATTCCGGTTTTTTCGATAGACTCAAAATTTTGGATTTTATAATGATTTTCCCAAAAAAGTCAGTTTTTTGAAAAAATGTAGGCCAAAATCCAAAATTTTCAAAAAACCGAGATAGCCATTTGATAGACAAAGTAAAATTACGTATAACCTTTTTTGTTACGTCTTGATTCCTTTAAAAATGAAGATGTTAGCGGCGTTTGAACTTTTGCCGTTTTTGAGGCGAAAATGGCGAACATGACGTCACTAAAACGTCAATTTCTCAAAAAATTTCCGACGGATTTCGCTCAAATTTTCAGGGAACGTGTCAAATTGATGTAAGAAAAGGTACTGAAAGTTTGGCGGCGCTGCGCGCCGCCGTTTTTGAGATATCGTAAAAATTCTCGAGGGGGGGTAAAATTTACCCCCCCCAGCCCCGCGCGGGTTAATACCCGAACACGCAAAAACTCCGTCGGCGATGAGATTTGAACCCATGACCTTCCTCTATATTTTCCAGTCGGAAGTTTTTTTACCCCCAAGGTACCAGTTGAGTATTTGTCGAATGATGCCGAAACAAGTACTAGTAGTTTTAGAATTGATAGCTGTATCAGTATAGCTTGAAGGTGGCGTACCCACTGACATAATATAGGACGAGGAAGCCAGCTAAGTCCCAAATCATAGAATTTCACCACCAACCCAATGTTAAAGAGACCCGACTTTGGGTGCTTCTACCCCCCAGATACCACCTCAGTTTTTAAGAAATGCACGATTAGCCGACTGACATTGATAGAGCTTGAAACAAGGAACGTTTTGAGGCTGAAGGTGGCGGTACACATTGCGCCAGTTTTATTTGGGTTCAAGTAAACTTCAAATTTGTACGTTTTTTCAATGGAAAAAGGGTAACGCCAGAACATACCAAAAAGGTCCGTGGCCACGCTGACAACGCTACGAGGCGAGGGATCTTAAAGAGAAGCTGGAAAGTCCCCTAGCTCGTTTCACAATCGACCGCGAGTCCCTCAGCCGATACGTTGGGGAGCTTCGCACTCTGGCAAGCTCTCTAGAGCAGGACGATGTCACCGTCCATCAACTTCGTGAAGTAGTTTCTCATCAGATATGAGGAGCTCACCAACATATCAGTCTCTGTAGAGGATTGTGTAACCGGGCAGATCACATGAGGAGCAACTAACAGAGGAGCCAGATCTATTAAGAAGTATGTCTGTGATCTGTTCATGCACCTATTGCGCACAAAAGAGGAGATCGACATCTCGAGGGCTGGGGTGACAGGTTGGATGCCCGCAGGAGTGATCTTCGTTTAACAAAGGAATGGCAAAGGACCTTTTTTATGTGGCTTAAGTCGATATGCAAGTTCCATTTACATGTTTTCCCACAGTTCAGCCTAAACTTGCGGCCTGACGTAATGGAACGCATCCAGTCCCAGCCGAACGAGTCAAGATTTGTGAAGGCTCTGGTGACCGCCATTGGGGGAACGGATGGACTGGCCTCTCACTCTGTGAAGGGCGGGAGGTCCAATCGCTTCCAAATGGCGGCCAAACCTCCACTGACGCCCAGGAAGCTCTGAGTGCCCAATAAATTATTGGGGTTGTCAGTGGCGAATATAAACGCACGGTTGACTACAACCTCATATTCCGTTTCTGATGGTAGGCTGTCACGTGACATATTTTCAGTCATATAATTCGTTCCTTTTTACAGCCATTCTTAATTATATGGTGACACAACCTAGAGTTAGG